CAGAGAGGATTGTATGGTTTTAAATATCTAAATTTATATTCATGATTGAAATGAATACTATTTATCTTTTTGCAAAATGGCTTTGTAGGATTTATATAATACATAATGTTGAAGAGGGCCTGTATACAGCTTAAGATGCCATTTGATTAAATAGTATAATTCTATAGGATTGTTTTCAGCGGAAACAAATTTAAAAAAGGCGGTTTTAACCAATCTCATTAATTCCTGGAATTGAAGAAAATTTGCTATATCCCAGCATAAAGTAGTTCACCTAAACCAGCGCTCTAATAAACTGTGTATTTATTTTAAAATTCAAGGTTTTATATCGTAACATTTGTGACATGAAAAACAAAATAACATATTGTGCATTTGTTCCAAACTCATTGAGAAATTCTCGTTGAAAAAAAAATCATATCAAAGCTGAAAGGTAAAGCCCTGTTTTTTGTGCGTTCATGTTTCAGCTTATGATTTATAAAAGGGAGTATGGAAAACTGGGCATCAAACGATATATCAACAAAACCACTGGCAAAATAAATCACTCAATCCAGTGACGTGCTTCAATCATGCAAAGATCAAATCGTTAAAAATGGAAAGGCTTTCGCCCGCATTGTTACACGCCTCGAAAATTTTTTTGCAGTTAATATTTGATTAATTAAATAATTTGAAATGCTAAATAAATATTCGCTGGAGATGCTTGAGCAGCAGAAACGTGAAACCAGGTTTTTCGATTTTCTCGTGAATTTTACTCTTTAATTTTTGTAAAGAGTTAATTACATTGATTTTATGTACCCAACCTACCTTTTTAGCTAACGATGTTTTATTTATGCCTCAGGAAATTTCCATTTTACTTTTTGAAATTTTCTCTGTACAGACGAAATGTTAAACATTTGTTGTTTATTTTCTTCTATATATAAGCAAGAGATGTTTTTTTATTAAATTGGCTTATTCCAATTTAAAAATCTCAGCAATTTTGGTACGTTACTAGGGTTCTAATTGCAAAACTACTAATCGGTGGGTTTGGGTAATCCAGGCCAAAAGGTTTTGTCGGAGCTCGTTTTATCGTAGATCATATTAAAATTTCTCTCACGTTCCCGGTTTAACCGACTTTATCCAATGGCATTTTAACAATAATGAAACCTTTATATTCCGAACATTACATTTATCTGTCCGGGATTTTCTAGTCGCGTTCGTGTCGGATCTGTTTAATCCATTTTTTGATAGTTGAACGTTTCACATTTAGTTTTTTAATAAAAGAAAACGTGTACATTATTAAATTCTATGGAACTATATGAAAAAGTATTAAATCACTGCCTCCGCTCGATACAATACTGAAATAAGCATTTTTGCTGGGGCACGGCATGATGTATGTGAGGGCAATTTCGAGTGGACATCGCATGCGATGATGGAGTGGCCTCTTGGGCACTTCTCGCACGTTTTCCTGCAGTTTCCGTCTCATTCCGTATTAACCGCGCGGTCTTCGTCTTTGCAATTTGTAATAAACCCAGATGTTGGGGTAGATAAGAAATGATAGAGACTTTTCGGAATTTAAATAGCTTATTTGTTTGTCAAATAGTACAGAGACGTTATAGGATGAACTAACTTTGTTTTATTTAATTTGGAAATATAGAGTCACTTTTACTAATTTTGTGGACTCATGTTCTTTTTATTTTTTCAGCTGTATTGTTTATTTAATATCTAAATTAGTATCTACTTGGTAGAGTAGGGATATTTCCATTCATTGTCTTATCTGTAATATTGACAGTAACATACTAATACCAATAATTTTTTCTTAATTTGTATATTTACGATAGCCGGATCATTAGAATCAAGGGAAATATAAACTTGTAGTGAGATGTTTGTTCGAAAAGCCCTGTCGCTCACAACAGATAGACATTATCCAGTAAAAACAGAAAGATCAATAATGAACAAGTTGTTTTATTTCAAATTACCGATGAGAAGGTATATCAGCATAGCCGATTGAATATAAAATTCTTTAAGCAAAAAAATATGTTAATGGGCACTTGCTCATTAAAAAAATCTTCTTTTTCTGTCAACTGAAACACTTGATATAAGTACAGAGTGTTCCAATGAGAACTGCGGCTTAATTTTGACCTTCCCTGTATTTTTCAACAAAAAAAATAAGATGGCCAATTGGAATTTTTTCTGGAGAATTCAAGAATTATTTGAACCAAAGAGTTACGCAATGAATGAACTGGTTTTTAAATAAAAAACCCTGTTTTTTTCTTTGATTTTTGGAAAAATTGCATTGTTTTACGTCTGTTTTATCAGTCCTCGTCACCCTGTACATATAGTTATGTTTTTGTTGAACATAATATATTGAGATATTTGGTGCAGTTAGCGCAGTGAAAATTAAAAATTTCTGGTGTAAGGAAACTTTTATTTATTGTTAACTAACTGGGTAGTACGTAGACTTCAAGAATATTTAGGGATTTTCAGAAGAAACATGTAGGGTCACAGTTAGTATCAAGAAATGCTTGGGTTTGACTTTTGACATTGATTCACCCAAATGGGAATCTAAAATAACACAGAAGAGTAATTTCATCCCTGTCGACACAGTTAATGAAAACATTATGGGTCTAAAGAGTTGCCAGGCATTACTTACAGAGATAAATATTGCCTTTTGTCTCAGATGAAAAACAGAAAATCTCCGAAAGAGGACAATATCACAGTTGAAATGATGAGGTCAGTCAGGAGTTTCAAGTTTCAATATGTTCCAGCAAAAACGTTGGTTTATACTGTCAACTACTTGAGTAAATACCACTCTGTACATCAATTTTATTCAAGTGTGTCGACGAGTCAGCATAAATTAGGTTTAAATACCTCAATTGGAAAAAGCCCCTCTAGCTGTCTCCTTCCAGTGCAAACTACCTTTATTGGGAAACGCCCTTTGGACCTATCTCAAACTCAGCTTCAGTCTTCAGTTACGCAAAGTGTACAGAGTGTACATAATATAGAGTGGCCTAAGTAGTACGTCCCTCCGTAGACGAGTCGTCATGGTATTATTTCTAAGGGTAATATTATTCTATATATTCACTACATATTTTATTGTACCTATACCAAGCGAGTTTCTCATACCTGAACCCTACCTACGCCCTCAGGTCACGCTTCTGTTTTGACGTCCCAGGACGCAACGTATAGATGTTGTGAGTAAAGGTACAACACCGGTTCTAGACCAAAATCTGTCATTTCTACATGTAAATCTCCATAAGAAAATCTAAGGTCTATTCTGCGACTTTTTGTACCATCTTGGATTGGGGGTGAAATTTCCAGAAATAAGCCCCGCCCCCTTTTCAGTGCCCGTATCTTTCACCGATAGCTGGTTAGTCGCTCATCAGCTCATCAGACACACATAGCACCAAGGGACTTATATCCAGGTCTAGAGGCAGTATACAGCTATACAGGTCTAGAGAGCGAGAGACAGGTCTGTATACAGCTATGCAGGTCTAGAGACAGGTCTGTATACAGCTAGACAGGTCTAGAGACATCAGGTCTGTATACAGCTAGACAGATCTAGAGACAGGTCTGTATACAGATCTAGAGACTGGTCCAATATAGCGATTGAACTGACCCATAATACGGGCCCCCAATTTCTGGCGCTTTGTTCTCCGGACCCATACATAACCTAAAAGTTGGTTCCCGCCTCGTGCAACTTACATCTGCAACTAGACAAAGCACGAGGCGGATTTTATTATTATGTACGTCATCATCGGTACGAGGCACCTTGAATGAGGTACCAAGTCACGAGGTGCTATATGTGTTCTATGAGCCACTCGGAGCTAGGTACGGTCAATGACCCTAAAGCAGCGGCGACTAACCAGCTATCGATGAAAGAGGCTTATTCCTGGAAATTTTACCCCTACTCCAAAATGGTACAAAATTCGCAGAATGGACATTAAATTTTCTTATGGAGATTTAGATGTAAAAATTACTGATTTTGGCCTAGAACCGGTGTTGCACCTTTACTGTTGTGACAATACAATCATCCTACATGAATTAAATTGGGTACAATAAAATCAATGCTCACATTGGAAGTCCAGATCTGTCCTATGATATTGCAAAAACTCTTTTCTTGGATACAAGCATTTACAGATTGGAAAATGCTTGTGTATGTAAACTGTCCAAAGGGCAAGGTTCTCAAAATGGCGACGTGTGGGGGATGTCTTTAAGCAGGTGAAATCTGGACGTATCTTTTTCCTGTTCTTTGAATAGTAGGTACGCGTGCACTGACAACGCTGACATAAAACTGTGACAGGCTGCTATAGAGGGAGAGAGAAACTTTGAATATTTTATTGGGACACTATAACAGATTCGATGATGAGAATGAAGACAGAATTCTAATATTCAAAACTTGTTCACAATTTTTAAATCGCTATTACGCAGTGATCTACACATCCAGAAATTAGGCTTTGGGGTTGGCAATCGATTGCATAAAATGATCTTGTCATAAGCAGGAGGAAAGTAGTTGATACTGACTAAGATTCAACCCCAGAAGAGGTTGAAGATGATGGAAATTGCTTCATGTTTTTTTTTTTAAGGGATGCATGTGGGACATTAATGAAAACCATCATTTTGTTGGGTTGTTCTTCAACTATGAAAAACATCAGATGACGTCTATATTTTACTCGATATTTTATTTGAAAAATTTCCCTATGGATATACCAATATATCTACAAAGCTAAAATATATGTATAATAAATAGAAAATAAATCTAAAATCCGTTCGGAAAAGCCCAGGCCGCATCCAAATAAATTTTCTTCGCGGTTAAAGGGCCAAAACCCGATAAAATTTTTGGCACGGGATATCGTTCCATTTTGCTTGTGTCGCGACAAGGAAATTTATGTATCCATTTTTGACCTGCAAGGGACAATATTTTAGCAGGTAAACATAAATTATAATATGCCTTCTCTCTAGCGAGATCTATTGTTTCCTGCTTCGGGAGTCATATTTTTTTTTTTAATAATATTTTTTTTTTGTTGCAGGAAACGACACTGTAACAGCATCATTTGATTTTTTCGATTCATCCAGCGCCCATGACTTAACTTTATCGCCGCAGACCCTATCCAACACAACAGAGGCCTTAATAAACGACAATTCAAATAGTTTGGGACTCCCCGCAGATAGCGATACCGGTAAGTCAGAAATAAGCATTACATTTCAAAATAAAATTGCATCAAATATAACGAACGCAAAAATTCGTTTCCATTGTTTGCGATATCCTTTGCATTTTATATACCTTTGGGGGCCGAGAGTTCCATCTATTCAATTTCTAGTTGAAAGAATGAGACGCTTCGTTTAATACTGACACAAAATAGACATCAAAAGCGCTTCCTCAATTTAATATTTCTGAGCTCGAAACGCGCCGCTGCTGCTGCAACGTCGAAAATGCATAATGCATCAAAAATTAAGACTTCGCTTAACGGTTAGATATTGGTATTGACATACGTCGTCTTCATAACAACTTACTAATGGAGTATCCGAATTTGGCGCAAACAGCTTATATTCATTGGGGAATTGTTGATGGCTGATCTATGCATATGTAATTCGATGTTTCTGCTGATAATATCAAGCTGAAAGTAATATAGTTTGGAAAGTATACATTTTAAACTTACATTGTTATTAAAGTTCTTTCTTTGTGACGTAGTCAGGTAAACCTTTAGCTTTTTTGTTAACTCTCCTACAACATTCACAGCAAATGCTTTCGCCTCGGTTAGAAATGATTTCCTCACAAACCTTACAGTACAGACCCATGATTTTTAATGATTTAAAAATATTAGTAATTCCTAATTTAAACCACATCATTGATTTTGTCGATCCAGCTGTTATGTGATTTATCGAATCCCATCCATTTTACAAAAATTTTGTTCCCTTCTCGTTGTAGAACTTTCTCCATCACATACACATCAGGCTGTTTGCTTTTCTGTAATTCTTCTTCATAAAACCCACTACTTATAGGTTGTCCCAGCACGTCCTCCAACAAATAGGTTGTTGAGTTTGTAATCTATACTTTAACCACTTTAAAGAGTTCTGTAGTCTAATTCGGTGTAGATATATCCTTTCTCGAAAACATGTTTATACTTGCTACATCGCCAACTTTCAATTTCTGTTTTCCAGCAACTTTAATATGAGCATAGCTTTTTGTATATTTTCCTATGGTTCTCCATTCGTAGATCGATCGAGTGTACGCCACTGGTATTTTCCTGTTTTTGACTACCCCCTCAACCTTTCCATGTTAATATGAATTCAAACCTATGTACAGTTTTTGAATAATCATACAGTTTCCTATGTCCTAAATTCTGAGGTTTATCCATACGAGTCACTTAATCTTAATTTCAGTGACAAGCAGTTTGCAGAAGCCTACCGAATTTCAAAACACGTATATGGGTGAAAACAATAGTGAACCATTGTAAAACTTTTCTAATTTCACCAGCAGGGCTTTATTTGTTATAGATTGCTCGAAACAGAAGAAATCTCTCAAAAGCAGCACAACTGATGGTAAATTAGAGTTCCAAAGCTCGGAAAATCTTTCTAATAATACACGAGCCTGTTGTATTATCATTTTTGTGGTTCTGGATGCTCAAGGTTACTTTTCTACTGATTTTCAAGTCATGATGGTAAACAGCTCAGAAGTTGGGTCTTTATACCTAAAATATTACATCATGATTTAAGTGATGCCCAAAAAAAAAAGAAGTAAACTAAGTATTCCACAACCTCCATGGTATCTCCTACAGTACAGGTCATCTGGACTATGGACGACTTGATCAAGTGCTTCAAGAAAATTTGCATGTAAAAGATACATTAATATAACGAGTAGGAAATTATATAAAAGTTATATTTTTTTTTTTTTTTTGTTTAGTCTAAAATCTTAAAGCTAGAACCCTCCTACCTTTCTAACTCTCGATGACCACAAGCAAACGTGTACGCTGTACCGGGAATAACATAGTGCTTGTCATCCGCGTATGACAAAGCTACCTTATTTTTAAGTTCGATAAACATTTCATGTTTATGTGAACGGAAAGTATTCATCTGTCGATAAATAAGCGTACCTTCTACGTCAACACACACGATGACCCCAAGCAAGCATGTACTCTGTACCGGGTATAACGCAATGACATCAAAACACAGATAGACCGAACAATAAACAAAATTTTCGTATGACAACATCTCTCTGTCTCTTCTGGGCCTTTGTGCTAGCCCCACCACTGAGAATGCCAAATTTTGTCTTGAATCCCTAAATAATATATTTTCCTCTTTTTCTACTTAACGTTTTTAATTTTATTTCTGAACTCAATTTGGTAACACCGGATTGTAGCAAAACGTCGGCGTCGCCCAGAAGCGGCTTGTTCGATAGCAAGCAGGTGTTGGCTAGCTATCTTTATCGCACACAGGGATTATTCATTAGCGTTAAACAAGAAACGACCAATACGATATTGGTACTCCCAGAATAAAGTGCTCGTATCGAATATTTTCAGTTTATTTGTCAAAGTGTCATTTTATTTATTCAGACAATTAATTTTTGAGATATATTCACGTGTGGGCGGGGTTTTTTTACGCCATTTTGAGTAACGATGTCCCCCACCCCGACCCCGCGAGAAACTCACCTCCCCTGGCCCATGGGTGGTCTTGTCAACACAACAAATATCAGTTTATGAATGGGATGATCCGTCTATCTGTGTTTTGATGTCATTGGTATAACGTAGCGTTTGTCGTCCGCGTATGACAAAGCTACCTTATTTTTTAGTTCGATAAACATTTCGTGTTTATGTAAACGGAAAGTATTCATCTGTCGATGAATAAGCGTACCTTCTACGTCAACACACACGATGACCCCAAGCAAGCATGTACTCTGTACCGAGTATAACGCAATGACATCAAAACACAGATAGACAGAACAATAAACAAAATTTTCGTTCGTAGCGTTAAGCAAGAAACGACCAATACGATTTTGGTACTCCCAGAATAAAGTGCTCGTATCGAATATTTTCAGTTTATTTGTCAAATTGTCATTTTATTTATTCAGCCAATTAGGCAATCCAACGATGTGTCAAATATGACCGACTGTTGGCAAGCATGTGCCCATAACCCTAAATTTCTTGTGTCATCAGTCATCGTCCCTTGTGTTTACCTTTGACGTTGGGGACTTTAACATAATAAATTCCAGCTTTTTACAAATTTCCTTCCTTTCCTTCTAAATTATTGTGAGTGAGTTGACATTATCATTAAATTTTGTGAGCATCCAGACTCTTATAGGCCTTCATTTGTGCATTGGTGTAAAAGCTATGCGTTAGAACAATATAGCTCATAATATCCATGGAAGTTATTGGGGGAACACTAGCAAATCCATAGTCAAAATCATTTTTACTCAAAGATCACAATTTATTCACTTTATCTTGTTCAAATATCTAAGAGCGGCCTCAGGACAGCTTTTCCGCAACTCGCACAAATATGGACTTTCTCTGAAAGCTATATTTCAATAGAAATGAAAGTTTCAACTCATAAAAATATTTCCAATGTCTTTAAAAATGTTTATATAGACTCAAATAAAATAATTTAGGTCTCAAAACTCACAAAATTAAGCAATAAGCAGCAAAATACGCAGTCAACACAGAAAATGACACAATATTAAACCAAGAAAATCTTTTGTGTGCCAACAATCCGTCAAAAAAAGTCACGTGGTTTGGATTGCCTAATTAATTTTTGAGATATATTCATGTGTGGGCGGGGTTTTATGCCATTTTGAGTAATGATGTCCCCCACCCCGACCCCGCGAGAAACTCACGTCCCCTGGCCCATGGGTGGTCTTGTCAACACAAGAAATATCAGTTTATGAATGGGATGATCCGTCTATCTGTGTTTTGATGTCATTGGTATAACGTAGCGTTTGTCGTACGCGTATGACAAAGCTACTTTACTTGTTAGTTTATCGAACATTTCGTGTTTATGTGGACGGAAAGTATTCATCTGTCGATGAATGAGCGTACCTTCTACGTCAACACACACGCTGACCCCAAGCAAGCGTGTACTCTGTACCGGGTATAACGTAACGTTTATCGTCCGCGTAAGACAAGGCTGCCTTATTTTTAAGTTCGATAAACATTTTGTGTTTATGTGAACGGAAAGTATTCATTTGTCGATGAATAAGCGTACCTTCTACGTCAACACACACGATGACCCCAAGCAAGCATGTACTTTGTACCGGGTATAACGCAATGATATCAAAACACAGATAGAACGAACAATAAACAAAATTTTCGTATGACAACATTTCTCTGTCTCTTTTGGGCCTTTGTGCTAGTTCCACCACTGAGAATGCCAAATTTTGTCTTGAATCCCTAAATAATATATTTTCCTCCTTTTCTAATTAACGTTTTCAATTTTATTTCTGAACTCAATTTGGTAACACCGGACTGAAGCAAAACGCCGCCCAGAAACAGCTTGTTCGATAGCAGGCAGGTGTTGGCTGGAGTAGCTAGCTATCTTTATCGCACGCAGGGATTATTCATTAGCGTTAAACAAGAAACGACCAATACGATATTGGTACTCCCAGAATAAAGTGCTCGTATCGAATATTTTCAGTTTATTTGTCAAATTTTTATTTTATTTATTCCAATTAATTTTTGAGATATATTCACGTGTGGGCGGGGTTTTTTTACGCCATCTTGAGTAATGATGTCCCCCACCCCGACTCCGCGAGAAACTCACCTCCCCTGGCCCATGGGTGGTCTTGTCAACACAACAAATATCAGTTTATGAATGGGATGATCCGTCTATCTGTGTTTTGATGTCATTGGTATAACGTAGCGTTTGTCGTCCGCGTATGACAAAGTTACCTTATTTTTTAGTTTGATAAACATTTCGTGTTTATGTGGACGGAAAGTATTCATCTGTCGATGAATAAGCGTACCTTCTACGTCAACACACACGATGACCCCAAGCAAGCATACTCTGTACCGAGTATAACGTAGCGTTTGTCGTCCGCGTAAGACAAGGCTACCTTATTTTTAGGTTCGATAAACATTTCGTGTTTATGTGAACGGAAAGTATTTATCTGTCGATAAATAAGCGTACATTCTACGTCAACACACACGATGACACCAAGCAAGCATGTACTCTGTACCGGGTATAACGCAATGACATCAAAACACAGATAGACCGAACAAGAAACAAAATTTTCGTATGACAACATCTCTCTGTCTCTTTTAGGCCTTTGTGCTAGTCCCACCACTGAGAATGCCAAATTTTGTCTTGAATCCCTTGAATATTTTCCTCCTTTTCTAATTAACGTTTTCAATTTTATTTCTGAACTCAATTTGGTAACACCGGATTGTAGAAAAACGCCGCTCAGAAGCGGCTTGTTCGATGGCAGGCAGGTGTTGGCTGGAGTAGCTAGCTATCTTTATCGCACAAAGGGATTATTCATTAGCGTTAAACAAGAAACGACCAATACGATATTGGTACTCCCAGAATAAAGTGCTCGTATCGAATATTTTCAGTTTATTTGTCAAATTTTTATTTTATTTATTCCAATTAATTTTTGAGATATATTCACGTGTGGGCGGGGTTTTTTTACGCCATTTTGAGTAATGATGTCCCCCACCCCGACCCCGCGAGAAACTCACCTCCCCTGGCCCATGGGTTGTCTTGTCAACACAACAAATATCAGTTTATGAATGGGATGATCCGTCTATCTGTGTTTTGATGTCATTGTTATAAAGTAGCGTTTGTCGTCCGCGTATCACAAAGTTACCTTATTTTTTAGTTTCATAAACATTTCGTGTTTATGTGGACGGAAATTATTCATCTGTCGACGAATAAAGTTTACTTTTCATGCATCCGTTTTTCCGTCAGTCCGTTGATCCGGGAGTATTCCTATTGGTCCAATATTTTGGAGCTTAAATATTGGACCAATAGGAAGACTCCCGGATCAACGGACTGACGGAGAAACGGATGCATGAAAAGTGCCTCTAAGCGTACCTTCTACGTCAACACGCACGATGACCCCAAGCAAGTGTGTACTCTGTACCGGGTATAACGTAACGTTTGTCGTCCGCGTAAGACAAGGCTACCTTATTTTTATGTTCGATAAACATTTTGTGTTTATGTGAACGGAAACAGATGAATAAGCGTACCTTCTACGTCAACTGCAGCCTTATAATTATCAAGACTAAGTTCAATGCCATTGTTTCTCTAAGAATTTTATCATATTTTTGTTCCATATATTGTTTCTTCTAAATAGTTGGACTTGGACTATTTTCTGTCATGAACAATTAGATTGAGGCTATTTGAAGTAAACAAAACATATCAATAGAATAACAGGATAGGGCAAATAGACTCAGAAAGTGAAGATCTGAAAACGTGTACTAATTCGTTTTAAAACAAGACCATTCACTTTTGGAAGAAAACTTCCATTGAAACGTGACCCACAAAAATCAGGCACTAATAGATTTTTTCCTAAAAAGTAGGATAAATATAATATGTATATAATATTTGTAATTTACGAAAAAATTGTTCCATCAAAACTAATTAAAACCGTCCTAGGAAAAGCAAAAAAATAAAAATAAAAAACAAACATTTACATTATCAAATTCCAAGATTCATAATGAAATTCTCCGATATTCTTCTTTGCATTTGCGATTTTTACTGGCGACGTCCGTCTCCAGAGGATTTGAAGCGAAATATATTTAGGAGCAAAGTACATTTATAAAGATAGACGGCAGCAAAAGATAGATTACATCTTTTGCTTGAAAGGCGTCCATTAAGAAAATGAAAATGATAATTGGATGATTTTGTAGGAGAAAAAATATAATTCCTTTGAGGAACAGATCGACGTAACGAGGGCTCCAGAAAAATAATATTAAAGACATGAAATATTTACGTTTGTCGTGTTTTTTTTTTAGGCCCTGCCAAACAATTTGAAAGTTTTTTTCGTTTATATACTGAGGGCATATTCAATAATTGATATTAGGCAATATCCACAAAACTTTTCACTTCGAGTTGACATTGTGTATATTTGAGGACAAAATAATTCAATATCTACTTGAGAAATTGGCTTTTTTTTCAATTTAAAGGCAAAAGAATCTTATCCATGGAGCACTAAGGGATTTCAATTCAATAAAACATTCATGAAATATCATGCGAAAACCGGGCATTAATGGAACTTGACAAGCGGAACGCATTTCAGGAAAAGATATAAATAGGTCAAGACAAAACGAAAATGTTTGATGTCTGAAGACTGGAAAATAAATAGATGGCTTTTAGTGTATTGCCAATCTGCAAATTGTTTGAGGTTTTATTTATATGTGGTTTAAAAGCTAGACTTTTTGCCATTAACTTTATTTCGCAACGGTTATATGATACTACGTTAGAAAATTGCTCCTTTTTAAGACTTTGTCACCATGATATCGATACCTAGGTACTTGAATAAATTGCACATCCAACAGAATATACAAGATTGATAGAAATAAGAGAGCTTTGAGTCCCAGCTATTGCATCTTACTTATTCATTTGTCGCAGCAACGAATCGGAGGAATTGTTTTATTTCACGACATAAAAAAGAAAATCTATAAATGTTTATATATTATATTGAATACCAACTCGATTAAGGGAGTTATTCAAGAGCTCCTCCAGTCTTAATAATAAAATTTCATGATTTAACACGTCTTCCAGGGTACTAACGAGTCTGCCCGCCGGAAATAAAACAGAAGCCATATGACATTGCGACTTGAATAGAAATAAGTCTTCCAAAAAGTACGTGACGGAACTTTGAAAAAGTGCAGCCCGAAAGATTACCAACTTTTATTTGACCTGTCGAAAATGTCCCAGCGTCTTTTTCCCTTTTTCCAATTCGGACGAAGAGGATTTCTTATTTAGTCCGAAAACTATAGTTTCGTTTTTGCTCTTATAGTGGCGGCGAGCTTTTAATGTATTGTTTGAAATTTCCTCGTCCGTAGTTTCCCTTCTAACAGAGTTTTTGAGAAAAACAATAAGTTTTTATTGTCTTGTTTTCGGGTATCGGATCTTGTAGGGAACAGATAGAATCTATTGTATATTTTTCTTTAGACCGAACGTCAATCCGAAAATTGGTTATTTTCTTTTTTCAGTATCAACAACAACAAAAGATGATGGAAAACCAGGCAGCACGTCACCTGATCTCAAAGGAAAAAGGCCTAAAACAAAACCAACTTCTCCCAATAGACAGGGTCCTCAACAATGCACGGTAATCATATTATTATATTTATAATTTTGTATCAATCTATTTTTTATAATTCTAGGTGTGTTCCAAGGTGTTTGGTAATGCATCGGCTCTAGCAAAACACAAACTTACCCACAGCGACGAAAGAAAATACATTTGCAACGTATGCAATAAAGCGTTTAAAAGACAAGACCATTTGTAAGTATTTCAAGTTAAAAACATTATTTAATTTTAACGGAAATAATATTTTTCTGACACGTCTGTATATGAGTTTTTCGCTCTCAAGCAATAGTTTGAAGCCTTTTCCAAAGGTACTTCAAATATTTCAAATACTTTTACTACATGTGCACTGTTCTGATGGCAATTTGTACTTGAAAGCTCTCAGGCACTCTTTTACTTGAGAAATATGTAGTTTGTAATAAAAGTCGAAAGGCATTTTAAATTAAAAAAGGCCGGGATTCCTAAGAGATGCTTCTCGTCTATAGAGGAACTCGAAAATTCTTTAATAATGAACCTGCATACGAAATTCCTCACATATGATGTATACAAAATTTAATTTAGAAACGGCCATATGCTCACTCACCGCAACAAAAAACCGTACGAGTGCAAAGCGGACGGATGCGGCAAAAGTTACTGCGACGCGCGTTCTTTGAGACGTCACACTGAGAACCATCACGTACCACCTTCTACGTCGAATACGACCATGTCACCGGCGCAGGGAGCGGCAGCTGGTGACGCCGCGTCACCTCACGGGAGTAGTTGCATTCAGTACGCGCCACCTCCTACGGGATCGCCAACTGTTAAGGACAGTAAGGAGGGGAAAAGTCAATTGCAGCAACTTTTGTCGACTGAACCAGCAAAGGTAAGAATTTGATGAGTGAGTTGATAAAAATGATACGCGAGAATGGTATTTTCTCCCTATGACACTGACCTCACATGGTTCACATGCTCTGTTTATAATGTGGTGGACTAGAGTGTAGAGCAGTTTTATTGATGCTGTTTATTTTCTTTGTTAGCTACAAATAAAATTGCGGAGGAAGTCTATTTGCAAATGAGACATAATGTCCTTATAACACACTTGAATTTCACTTTACAAATATCACATTCGGAAAAGTGATGAGGTATTTGAGTGCATCTCAAGATGTCGTTTCAAACTTTGTTTATATTTAAATTTTGCATTGCAAGTGTCACATTCGAAAGGATGATTATGCGAGTGCGTCTTTACAATGCACTTTAGAACATAATTATTGCAATAAATGGTTATATTGGTACTAATGTCTCAATTTTTCTAGGTATAGTTACAATTTTTCCCTAATTCACTAAATTATTTTAATGAAATAAATGTTTTCATCACTTAGAGCATGCACATATTGTAATTTAACCGTTTTAAATTCTCTTTCTTTCACGATTGCGATACGTTGACCTAAAATATCTCCAGATGTTATTAATTTACCATTCCTTATTCTATGCAAAAATTTTTGATTTGGAACTGAAAAATCTCGGTCCCTAAGGGCGACACTATAAAATATCTATGTTAAGGTTTAAGACTGTTTGGAAATGGTAAATGTCCGCCTGTCAAGAGAATAGTCGGGCATCAGTCTTGTCCTAAAACTTAACATTTTCACGAAACGAAAAATAAACCGGCCCTTAAATCTTCCTTGAAGTTTCGCAATTTGTATCGCTTAGGAGAAAGGGTGTCAGAGTGTCCCGCGGTAATCCCGAAAATAACGATCAAAATATTATTTTTTTTCCTTTAAGTATTGCATCAAGTTTTAAAACTAAGAATATTTATTGTATTAGGCTAAATAAACCATTTATTGTGAAACAGAGATAAAATCCCTCTCCTCTATCCCATCCATTGCATCCAAAATATTCATCAATAACGTTTTCCATTTTGGAAACGACTATAGGCAAAAATAAAATGGAATTTTAAAATTCATATACAAATTATTCGTGGAACAAAAATTTACGGCTCCGTCGAACAGGGAATATTTTATTTTTAACGACGATTTTTTGAAAAAGTAAATAATAAATGGAGATAAATCTCAATTAGGGAATTGCATTTTAGTTTTGATGGTTTGCAAAAATAAAATCAGATTAATAGATATATTTTTTAGTGAAGTGAAGTGATATTTTTATGACAGCAAAATGAGGATTATCGCTTAATATATGAACAAAACAAAACAATGTGAAAAATGAGTCAATAACTGTGAAAATGTAAATAAAATGTTTGTACATAGTAGGCCAACAGGCAAGTAATAAATAAAGGGGGTAGCTGGAAATTATTCCGAAGTTAATGGTATGTTGGTATGTCGTTTGTGGATAGTCTGTGGAGTAGAATCTAAGTTTTTGACCTCGAGGACCCTGTGCTTACTTAGGGGGAACTCGAAAGACCTAAAAATTTCCGAGCATTTTCAGTTTTTTGCTTATAACTTCTAAACCATGCGTTTTTAGCGGAACACACCTATTTATAAAGTTGAAGAAAATTAAATTTCCTTCAAATTTAGCTGATAGTATTCTTTAACGCAATATTAACCGGGATACAGTGGTTCAAAGATACAAAAAAAAAACTTCAACTTGTCAAAATAATGTTTTCCCATCCGAACATAATTCGAACCAAGCGCGGAATAAACATATTTTATCCTCGTCTTTTTCACGTGCACTCACAATCTACTGTCCCCCTGAATTATTTTTTGATTATATCCTATCCAAATAATCATTTTTGGAAAATAAAGTATCGATAGCTGAACGAGCCTGGCCTAGTAGGTACACGTCAAATTCTACTTACTGTTTGTGTTTAGTTTCATCGTTTATTATTTTCGTGGTACTGCTGAGTTAAAATGGCATATGCAATAATGTTGGAACAGTGTTTCATATGCGAAGAAAGTTTGTCGGAATAAGAAGCGGTTGTGGTTAAAAAAAAAGAGGAATTGATACGCTTCTTGCTACCAGGTTGAAGCGGAAGAAGCCTGATCACCAACGGTTACTCAAAGGAGTGGAAAAAATTAAAATTCACACATCTTGTCAAAAAATTACAATGATTTTGGCCTTCTTGCTTCTTGCGTCGTGAGCGTGACACCTCTACAACTGTACCCAAACCAACACGCTCAAGTACATCATTATCATTCAGTTTCAACAAGTGCTTCTTTTGCGATGACGAGGTTACTGAGAAGTACAGACAAACACAAATGAAGTTACCCCAGGAAAAACGCAATCCTATGGTCAAAGTGACGCTTCCAGAGGTAGCAAACACGATTTTGTCATACACAAGACAGCGAGGTGATAAATGTAGACAAAAAATTGAAGCCTGTTGATCAATATGGAAACAGATTTAGTTGTGCTCAACGCGGAATACCACCAAAAGTGTATTCAAAATTTTTACAAAATACCTGCACGTGTCCACAAAAAGCCGGGACAACCTACTCCCAACATAGATCAAGCCATGGAAATTATATTCAGTTTCCTCGAGGAGAACAGTGACGAGTGCCAGTTTTTCCTTGGACAGTTGCTTGATTTGGTACCCGAAAATTTTCGTTCATACGTTAGGACTGTAAAAAAGCGCCTGGAGAAGGATCAAAATGACATAATCATCTCTGGTTCGCTCAACAAAGAAAGTGTCGTATGTTTCAAGAACACTGGCCACAGAATTTTGTTTGACAAGTGGTACCTGAAGGAAAAAAACGGTAACCCTCAAGAAGAAAAAAATCGAATTGTGAAAACTGCAGGTAAAATTGGTTTAGAGGATATCGGATCTAAAATGTTTAACACTGAAGCTTACCCCCCAATTGATTATTTTTATGGTGATTCTCATTATGTTGTTCCGGAGACACTATGCTGCTTCTTCATACTATCATTTTGACAAATAAACGGGATTCACTGGAATCGTGGAAGAAAAAATGTCTTGCTCTGGCACATGCTATTATGCTAGCCGTCCGACCAAAATCCTTTTGTCACCCATTATGATTGGGGTTGCAACGTATGATTACAAGAAGTTTAGATCGATACTTCTTGTAAACGTCCTAAGTTAGAATTTTCAGCTACCTATGATGAAGCTTCTAGACTTGAGGGTTCTTATGGGCTGCAGGTGGAGAAAGCCATAGTTGATGAACCAGTCAATCCATTAGGCAGCTCGTTTTCGACAATGCCGACTTTAATGTAAATACGCTGGATGGGGAAGGCATATTCCGCGCCATGGGAGGAATAATGGCCGTCACCCCATGAAATGCTGTGACCAGTGAGGCAAATGTAGGTCGCATGAAAGTCACTCCAACAGCTGACCTAATTGGCAAAGCTGCCACTGTTGAAGTTAAGCAGTATCACCGACCATCCAATGGAGGATTGAAAGCTGTAAAATTGTTTGACATAAGTATCAGCTCTGTACAGAACATTGTACCTTCTGCCTCTGTATGGAAAAAAAAACACGTTCTCATTATCAGTACTTGGTTGGAATGGATTCATGGACTTGAGGGAACAAGAAGATAAATAGGAATGCTCCAAGATTGTGAGCGTCCTTTTCATTAATGCACCTCCAAATGATTACTCTACAGTGTATACATCCATCTTCACTGCATTTGAAGAATGTGAGCGAATTAACCATAAAACATGTGTTATCACATTTGACCAACCATTGTATTGGAAGGATGGTAATGTGGTTGCCGCCATTCCAGAACTCAGTAACGTCATTGTAAAGCTGTTTTGCGAGATTTTTGCAGCAGACAGTGTTGATAAGATACTGTCTGGATATGCTTACGCCAGAGCTGTACGTTCACATAGCCTTGCTTATACGCTGCTTTGGGTTGTCTGATATTTGACGTTTTGGGATTGACAGAAGAAGAGTTGTTTGCACTGGATACAGTTATCGATTCTTTTCACCAGTCCAATATAGAGTTTAAGCATCCAGCATTGGATGAGGTGAGAGTTAAATTCTCGGAAGTGCTGGACGAAATTGAGGATAGAGGACCATTTGCGAGACTATGGATCCAATACTTCCGCCTGTGTACTCTTATGAAAAATTTCATCAGAGCTGAACATACGGGTGTCTGGAACCTCTACCTTGACTCAGAGAAATGATCTCCTACTTCCATGCTGCAGGCCACTTGAATTACGTCAGGAGTGCACACTTGTACTACCAGAATATGATCACCTTAAAAGAGAAAATAGTTTTTCAAGAAAATGAGAAGTTCACCACCAAGGAATACTTCACTATTCGCAGAACCGACAAATTCTGGTCAGGCATCTGGTCAGATATGACCATAGAACAGCTTCTCATGCGACCTATAAAGAGCTATGGCGGGCTGACTCGTGGTCGTGGTGTCAGTGATACTGTGCTTTCTCGATGGATTGTGGGTATGATATGTCTCCAAAGTATCAATGAGCAAATAGAACTCTTTGCTGGAGTACGCTCAGAGACTACTGAGCAACACGTGGATATGGGCCTTCCTGTGTTACCAGGGATAATATCGACATCAAGAAACTTAGTGATTGGTTGGCTGACCATCCACCTTTCCTAGATACAAAAGAGCTTTTCTCAGTAGGCACAGGAGGTGTTGCTCCTGAAGCTTACCTCGAACTATCAGTACCTATCACCTGTATGAAGACATCTTTGGAAAAAGGGAATTTTCAAGACATGGAATTGAAGCGGAAAAATAAGGTTGTTTCTCTAGCATCTGTTTCCTGTTGTGTGAAAATTGAATACAAAAATTTCACTCTCTTTCAACGGATTTGCATAATAAAACAATCAGATGATGACCTTAGAACCTTGTTGAAATACGAACTAGCCCCCTTCCCGATGCCTCTCTCCACAGAGGAAGGTATGCACAAGGGCACAAAGTCAATGTTGTATACGGCATTCACTCCTATACAAGAACCAGTAGACTTTGGCAGTAGCGAATACGCAGTTATTGATAGTGGGTACCTGCTACATAAGGTTGTGTCGAGCAAGTCAAGAGATACGACATTTGAATTGGTGTGCCAGAATTTCGTGGATTATGTTCAAAGACACTTTGGAAGCAATGCTATAGTGAGTGGTTTTTGATGGGCATCCTGTTGACATAAGTTACCAAAGGACAAAAACAGTAGAACCATATCGACGATCTTTGCTGCATTCATCGTCAAAGTTTGTTTTTTTCAAAACATCTGTTTCTTCCATTTTATAAGAAAAATTTCTCTCCAACGATACCAACAAGAAAAACTTCATCACATTGCTGATTACTGAATTGGAATCCAGGGGAATTCAGGTTAGGCAGGCAACATAAGATCCCGATGTCATGATTGTGAAAACTGCTACATCAAAATCTGCCTACTTTGATAGTGTCATCATAACAAGAAAAGACATCGATCTTCTGGTTTTACTGAGAGCATCAGCTTTCTCTAAAAAGAACATTTATTTCCAGAAGAGTGGCAGAGGTAACACCCCCAGTGTTTTGTATTCATCCCATACCTGCAAAGTCAACACTCAGGATATTCTCTTTCTTCACGCAGTAAGTGAATGTGACACCACTTCATGACTCTTCGGAATTGGAAAGAAAATGTGATGCAAGTTTATAAAAAAAAATCCCTTAACTCTCAGGAATAGTTGGTGATTTCAAAGATCCTGACGCGAGACCAAACCAAATTACTGAAGCTGGACAAAAGTTCCTAATGAAATTGTACGGTAGTTACTCAGACGCAGATAATTTGAAAACTTTGCGGTACCGAGCATTCTCATCAAACGTTTTGGCAAACTCGAAATTTCAACTTGCCAGATTACCACCTACAAGAGATGCCACCAAGTATCACTTGTATAGGACATACCTGCAAGTACAAACATGGCTAGGAATGGAAGGAAGCCACCAAAAGTTACCATTTGCTTGGGGCTGGAGCCTGACTTATCGAGGTTAGTATATTCGACTCAGATTTTACTCCACATACATACCAAAATTTCATCAACTTCGGAATACTTTCCAGCAAAAGGTATTGCAGACTGGATTATAGTTAGATGATCAATAATCTTGTTTCAAACGATAGCAGGAAAACGTTCAATGTACCATCACGATTCTACACAATGCAATTCAAAATTCGTATATAGAGTGTTGAAACAGACTTAATTTAAATAACAATTCTCTCATTTGAAATTACTGCAACTTTGAAACTACGTGCTTTATATACAAAACCATTCAATCGAGAATTGTCTAGAATTGAAGAACGTTATTCGTTACGTCCGCAAATGAATTTATTTTTCCATAATTGATTCAGTTTATTGATTTTATGGTGAAATTCATTATCACGTAGGTATGTAATTTTTTTGAAGTATAATGGGTTAAGGACCGCTTAACTGAAATTGTATATGGAAATAAAATCCTTGTTCCCTCAACTGCCTTATATTTACATTAAGACTTTTTAGGGGGTCTAGAAGATAAAGGTTTGAAAGGGGTGACTTAATTTCCATTGAAATGATGTTGGTGGGAAGTTTTTAAATGTTGTTCATAAATACTTATTTACCTGACAAGCACTGATTTACTTCAAATTTAACAAAACAGAGAAAAGCAGATTTCCATCTTTTAATTTCAGTCTACGTATCCGCGAAAAGAAAAGAATTATTTTTTCTTATGTATGTAAATATATAGGTAACTATTTTTACGTATGTGAAGCAATGCTAAAATTTGGGCGTTCATTTTGTATATAAAATACCTGATGCGGAAAAGTAGATACCTATACATTTCGCACGCAAGTAGTGTGAGAGACTGAACTTTTCCGCATGCTGGTAAGAAAAATAGGTATCACCATGGTGTATGTAAAATTTCTGTTGACGATTATATTGCTGATTTATCAAAAAAAAACTTAAACGCTAACTAGTTATGCATTTCAAAATAAAAATACTGTTTTTAAATATCAAAAAACTAAAGCTTAGTTAAATAAAGAATAACTTTAAAAGCATGAATACAAATATTTATAAGTTCTGGTTTGCTGAGTCTGCTTCTAGGTAACTAGAAACAACTCTACAACTTTGTTCGAATAACTCCTCCCGCCGAAGTCGAAAACAATACGGATTGAGGTTTACGGATTTCTGGATAATTCTTTCTTGGATGACTTCACGAAGTAGGTACCTCTTCTTTTGTAGAGTTACCAAATTACTGTTAGAGGATGATGATGAGAACTAACGTGGTACAATCTTCATCTGACTAATTATGAACCTGGTTCTTTGACGTTGAATAAATATTGGAGTCGCTTATGATCAGTTACGATGGTGAATTTTCGCCCAAACAAGTATGGCCGATAATATTTTGTAGCCCATACTATCGCCAGAAACTCCTTTTTATGTGTCGAATAATTCATTTCTGCTGGATTTAAGTTCCAAAAAAACGTATGCTATTGGTAGATGACTTCCGATTTCGCCTTGAGTAAGCACAGCTCCAACTGCAACATTAGAAGCGTCTGTTGTTAACATGAATGGTTTTTCGAAATCTGGGAATTGTAATACTGGATCGTTGCATAGCACGTTTTTACAGGTTTCGAAGGCTTCTAGAAATTTTGTATTGTGTTCGATGGTAGCTCCTTTCTTGAGACATTTTGTGAAGGGTTTTATCAGCTTTGCAAATATTTATTGAAACGTCTGTAGTATTCTAACAGCCCTAAGAATGATTCTATTTCTTTTGCTGTCTTTGGAATTGGGAATTTCTGGATTGCTATTAGTTTCCTAGGATTTGGTTTAATTCCATCTTTTGTGATCACATGTCCAAGAAATTAAACTTCCGTCCTGAGAAATTCTGACTTATCAAGTTGCACTTTTAACCTCGACTTCTGTAATTTCTGTAAGGTCTTTTATATGTTCTTCCAGGCTGGATGAAAAGATGATGATGTCATCCATAATACACAAGGCATACTTTTCCCTGTAAGTCCCGTAGAATATTGTCCATGTCGCGCTGGAACGTTGCAGGCGCATTTTTTAATCCGAAAGGCATTCTCAGATACTCATAATGCCCGTTCTCTACGTTGAAGGCTGTTTTTTCAATAGATCCTGGGTCCATCTCTATTTGGTAGAATCCCAAGGATAGTTATAGCCTCTATAGTCTACGCATATTTTCCATTTTTGTTTGCCGCTTGAATCTTATTTTTTTGGGGAAACCCATATAGGACTGCTCCATGGACTTTGGCTCTGTCCGATTATTCCTTCATCTAACATTTTGTTTATTCACTTTTGAACCTCTTCTTTATGGTCAAATGGATACCGGTATGTTATCGAATGTACTGGTATTTCATCGGTGGTTTTGATGACGTGTTTTATTTTATTTGTAGAAGTTAGTTTTTCTCCTTCCTAGTGAAAAATGTCTGGGAATATTTTAAGAAGTTTGAAGAGACTGGATTTTCCTTCAGTATTTAAATGATCAGATTGAATCAAGTTTTCTATATTTATAGGATCTTGTTTTCTATGGGATTTCTCTGGCAAGAAATCTTCCATGTGGAAAAAATCAAAAGTTTCTTTGTGAAAATCTGGTAAAGTCCAGACCTGTAGGGGTTCTATGAACTGTGATAGGATTGTCAGTATAGTTGTAAATTTCCTTTTGTGCATATTCATTTTTTGCAGTAGTAAGTGTTTCGGGAAAATAGAGATGATCTATGACCTTCTCAGGTATAATGATATCTACATTATTTAAATGAAGAATAACTTTAAAAGCATGAATACAAATATTTATAAGCTCTGGTTTGCTGAGTCTGCTTCTAGGTAATTAAAAACAACTCTGCAACTTTTTTCACATAACTAACTAGAAAATAATTTATTCTCTACAGTTTTTTTACAGCAGCTTTTGGCGAGAACTAGAACGATAGTTTTTCACGAAAAAATAACATTCACAGTCAATTTTGGCTCCCTCTATTTCCGGTAGTTTTTGAACCACTACAAAAGTGAACATTGATGGGAAACTACAAAGAATTTTTCTCGTTAACGACACTTTTGACTTAATTTTATTTTCAATAATACATACCAAAATCTTTTTTTTTTTTCAGAGTGTTAGTGGCAATAATGACGGTCTAACGAAACAACAACTGGATCTCATCCATCAAATAATGGAACAAACCCAAAGACAAAACCAGTCAGTGGTGTCGTCGCCGTCATCTTCGAAACCCTCGCCGAAAAAATCGAAATCCAGAAGTAGGGATAAGACAGTGGCGGCGGCATCGTCGACTTCGTGGTCGCCAAATTCCGTAAGTAAAAGAAAAAATCTCTCTGGGAATTTCGCGACCTTTAACCCTTCATCGTATATTTGACCGGTGTTATAAGCCCTTCCCCCTTTCGAGATATCGAAGGGTGGGTTTTACCCTTCACCGTTTATTTTTTGAGTATCGTGTTGATGACGAAAAAGTAAAAGAGGATTTTACTTTTTAGTTTGTACTTTTGTTAACAGACTAATCAATTAAAAATTCTCCTTTAATAAAAAATTAATCATGTTCTTAACAAAAGAGCACTTTTGTAAATTTTTCTTGAAGGATTTTTAATTTTGTATAAAAGTTTTTCTCTTTTCAATTTAATTATGCACCAGCCGAGAGAAAGCTCTTTTACCTAATTAATTTAAAATTCTTGTTAATAGGATTGTAAGGACTTTCTACGGTTCTGGGCTAAAGGAGGCCGACTAATTGATATTAGGTTTACTGGGTAGAAATTAAGAAATTTTCATCTTAAAAATAAAATTAGTCTTGTATAAATATGCAATTTTTCATCTCAAATCAATAAGTTTATTAAAAACCTAAAAGAATTTAATCAGTAGACTGGCAAAGACGTTAAAACCCGGGAGCATTTTGCTTTATATCTCGATCGTAAAATACGCGCCGAGCGGCCCTAGCTTTTGCAAAAACTTTGGAGGAAAACTAAAAACTTCAAACGAAGATAGATTGAAAACCATATTCTAAAAGTTCTGGCCGCTTATTTTTTTAAATTAGCTCCAGGCCGAAGTCTTAAATTATTTTTAGTCATAGATATATATAGGAGAGAAGTTACTTTCGAAGTAAGAAAAAGTATGCAAGACTTTTCTTGGTTTTGTTTAGAAATTTTTGTTAATTGAGCTTTAAAAGGAATGGGGATTTTACAAAACAACATTTAAAAAGGGTTAAACTCTCTCACCAGTAATATGAAACACTATTATAATCCCTCAGCATTTGGGGTGGCACCAACGATCTAACTATATATCTTTATCTAATCCGGTTATTGCCGGACCAAATGACGTCACAACCGCGAGTCCTTCTCATCCCCCAGATTTCGAGCTCGTCGAGTAAGAGAGAGAATTTAGAACAAGTGGCTTTTAAAGGATTTAGAGCTCTCATATCTTAACACGTTCAGATTGTCCATAGTAGTTGAGTGAAGATGGTGGTTTCAATTTAATTATCGAGTGCACTCTCAGTAAACATAATGAATTATTATTGGGATTATTATTACGGATATCCGCCTTATCAGGTATAATAACACGATTGAATAAGACTCTAACTTTACAACTAAGTATGTATTTCATTGATGAGTTATTTTGTAAATATGATAATTATTACAGCAACAACAACAACAATGTTTACCTGTGAAAACAATTTCGACCGGTGCACCGAGTCCTCAAGGCAAAGTTACCACTACAACCCCTTCGACGCCTTCGCCCACTGCCCAGGATAAGCCGCCCATTCTCAAACCTGTCGAGTGCAATTTGTGCAAAAGACGATTCAAAAACATACCTGCTCTCAATGGACACATGAGATTGCACGGGGGTTATTTTAAAAAGGTAAGGATAATGGTGTGAAAACCTTAAGGTTTGATATAGTGACGTCAAAAATTTTATATTTTACTTTAGGGAAAGTTGTCAGATAATGACAGGGGCCAAGTTCTTGAAGCTAATTTCGTGTTCCCTGAGGTTTTGTTAGTAATGGAATCGATTAAAGCACGTTAAATTTTCCCAATTATTCTGTTTTCATAAAGTTTTTCTAAGCCACAAACTAAAATTATTTATGAAAACCTAACCTCTGGTCACCTTTGATATAAAATATTGTCTATTCACAATCTGTAGTCCAAAGGTACAGGTAAAATCTTGGGTAAAATTTATCACCTTTCAATGCTATTTGATAGGGAAAGGTGATAAATTTACCTGTACCTTTGGATTACAGATTGTGAATAGGATATATATCCTGGGCCCGGATTCTGAACCCACGATTCGATATTACCCTTTTTGTGATAGGTACGTAAAATTCAAAATTTTTTGAAAAAATTATTGTGCATATGAATACTATACTCAAAAATATTTAAATTGAGGTTGGGGTGCATGGGGCCCAAGGGGTCAGTCACACCATAACCACAATATCGTGGTTCTAATTCGGCCTACCTGTATAACATTTGTATCAAATTACGTTTTTCCAACTTTTTTACTTTCAGAGAAATTCGCATTGAAAGTTTTCAAATTGACACCCTGTATACTTTATGATGAAATGCATAATGTCATACTCAAGTAGATGTAAAATTTATATCACATTGATAATATATCACAAAGTTTTGCATTTCTGGCCCTAAAAAATTCCGACATTGCCTCACAAAACCGTTCATCATAACTCAATTAATATTGTACAAATTCTAATGTATATTTATGTATTCTCAATCAGAATTAAATGCTCTTTAAGATAAAATAAAATTGAATTATTTATCTCAAATAGCTTTTGACATGTTGAGGCTCAAATTTGGAACTTTGACTCAAATTTTGGAAAACATTCGAAGCCGATTATCTCGAAAATGAAGCTTTAGGGACCGGTACCCCAAATAATCTTTTTTAAAGTCCCAATGGAGAACTACAATTGGACAAAATTTCGCACTTACCGATAACTTTTCTAGTTTTTTGGTTCAGTAAATTTTATATAAATATTATTAGTATTCACAGAAAATTCGCGTTAATATGATATTAAAAAAATATTTTAGCTAAACACTACAAACCTTTAGTTCACACAGTATTTACATAAAGTAAAGGCGGTTACACATGGACATGGATGTCTGAAAACATGTACGTACATACATGAACGCGCGAACAAAAACATCAATGTGTATGCAAAATACCGTCGCGTTTTTGAATATGCGAGCGGTAGAATGGCGCTCAGGTGAATTCTGAAATTGCTAAAAATTTTATATGCACACTTGGAATACTGTAGTAAGAGTAGCAAGACTGACAGTTTTGTGCGAGCGTCTGTACAAAGGCGACATGCACGTTGATGTATGCACGTATATGTATCAAGCCATCCACGTCCGTGTTTAACCGTCTTAATGCTAAAGAAATGATCTCAAATTCATATAAACTTTACGTAAATGTGTTTACTAGGTGAAGAACAGCGTACAAGAAACCTGAATGATAGAAAACTTTACCCACTTCTTCAAAGTTATTATTTCTGATTTCCCCCAATAATATTTATTGTCCAAAATTTCTATGGGATATGACTATACTTATTGTTAATGGTAACAATCTCATGCCTGATTTTTACTTTTTTATGGTGGAGATTGTGGATTGTGAAATCTTGGTAGTGTGAAAATTTCTGCTCAATGGGCTCACTAAACCAGCAACTTCACTACCCATACATATATGTACATCGAGTCCTGATGAAATTTACACATAAGCTTCGATGTTGAAAAGATGATGCTCCAACATCTTGTGCTTGAAGTTCTCTGAAGATGTAGTGGAATGAAAAATTAAGGGCCTAAATTCTCCTCTACATTTTCACCAATAGAGCCTATCATCGGCACTGAATTCTGCTGTCGGTGATCCTCTCTGTATTTTCTTGTGAACAGAACTATCTTGGTTTACACCCAATCCGTTCTGTCTTGCCCATCAGGAGAGATTCTTTTATGCTGATTCCATGATTTCACTAATGGTTGATAAACTGAGGCCCCTTACCAGTACTACTACGTCGTCAGCATACGCAATCAATTTTATCGTCCTTTCTCTAAAGGTTTTTAGAATCTTATTGATTACCAACAGCCATAAGAGTGGGGATATTGTCACATGCCTCGCGGCTAATGTGGGTAGGACCTGCGGTTGGATAACATACAACTATAAAAGGCACTTATCGTACATTGCTTCCTAGTTGGATTGCATTACCAAAGGGGGACTACGTAGGTGCGCCACATGATTCTCACGTTCGGGGCTCTACGTACATATTATACGAGGATGCAACTGGTTCCCGCATGTATATAGCGACGATGTCCTTAACGGGATTGCTCCAAGACTCTCTGGGGTAATGAAGAGACATGTAGCTACTACTCCCTTGGGTAAGGAGTCCCTGAGGAGGGAAGGACCCAAATGGGTACTGATACCATGGGCTGCATCGGTTTTTATATCCATTTCATGTAAACATCAACTTACGCGTTGCCCTGCTTAAACTAATCATTGTCAATGAATCGTGTTCTAGTTTTTATGGTTTTTGATATACAGAGTAGTTTTATTTAAAAACCAGTTGACATTATCACTCCTCCTGGGTATAATCACCAATTTCTGAAATAATGATTCTGCTTTTCAGCATTTTTATTTTCCATTATATGATGACTGGTTCTACCTTCAGATGCTCCGTGGATTTTTCAATGAAGTCATCATCATCATCAACTCTATATCCAGAAATGCACCTAGGACCCTGGCATTTTTTCAAAAGCAAATAAATCTTCCGCCTTTTTTATCCCATAAATATACCAAAATTTGAAAAGCTTCACTTTACGTTTCAGTAGTATTCAAAGCGCCACACGTTATAGCAGGGTATTCCTATACCTCTGATTTTTTTTACACTCAAGTTGTGAGGAAAAACCAACATCACTATGCATTACCGGTGCCGGAAAAATCAAGAAATTACGAGAATTCCAGAGAGATTTCTGGATTGACTGATTTCGTATATAAAGTACAAAGTTTGTCTAAGTTGCAGTTAGTTCTAATAAGAGAATTGTTGTGTTGATACATACTTTATCACCCAACTGAAACAGGGGAACGTACGTCTCACCTTTTTCCATCACCATACTGCTTTTGCCGATCTTGCTGCATTTCGTGTGCACATCTAACGTCCTTCCAAATCAAAGGCATTCTGCGTAGGTAGGGTGTGATTTGGAGAACAAAATCTCCACAACTGCGCGAATGTCGGATTCCACGTCATCTAAACTTCTCAACTCTCTTCTAAAACTCAAATAGCAGCTGTCTTTCCGGTGGATTCACACATAGCTGAGTTCATGGCAAATCTAATTATCGGTAACCAAGTGCCGTGATCTGACCTTGAGATCCCTGTTCTTTTGTTCCGCCATATTTGCAGCAGCATGGTACAAGGGTATGAATGTCTGTTTTATACCCAAAATAAAACAAACTTGTTGTATGACGGCGGAGATAAACTGGACGCCGTTTGTCACTGCTTGACTCGCGTGGTAGTCCATATCTGAAGAAAATCTCATTAATCGGGGTATTGGCACACTCTTCCGATGTAGCTTGTGTCAAGACGAATAACTCAACCCATTTTGTGGGAGAGTTCTCCACAATGAAACTCCATATTTCCTATATTAGGATCTCAAAACGCCAATTATATGCAGGTGTTTGCAAAAGACCCGCCGGTTGTTGATTAGATGCCTTGTATCTTTTACAATCCACACAGTTTTTAAGATATTCAGCGATGAAACGGCGCATACCAGGAAAATAATATCTTTCAGCGATCCGTTGATAAGTTTTTTCTAAGCCATAGTGCCTGGCGCTAGGTGCGTCATGGTATTCTTTCAGAATTTTATCTCGCTCGTGCACTGGCACAGCTAACTGATCTTCGTCCTCGTCATAATATCGGTATAAAACTCCCTGGGACATAATAAAGCCTCTGCTGTCCATTTACGCAAGTTCATGCCAGTATCATCAGGATTTTCAAAACGTTGCATGATTTTGACAAAATCAGGTTCTTTTAGCTGTTCCTCTCTGACTTCATAGGCATTACGGTGTGGTAACTCAATAGCCATAGTACAGATTTCATAATTCTACCCAAGTTGATGGTTATATACCGGTCTAGAGAGCAAGTCAGCAATGACGTTTCTGTTGCCTGGCAAATACTCGATTTTCAGGTCGAAACTTTGAGTTTGTAAAGCCAAACGAGCTAGTTTTTATATTCAACAGCCATCGCAAGGGTTGATGATCTGTCTGCAGGGTGATTGGTGAATATTCTATGTAGCCTCGGAATTTGTTTAGTGCTCATAGTACTGCTAATGCTTCTCGCTCGGTAAGTGAGTAGTTTCTCTCTGCTACTTGAGAGCCGACTCACGTACTCAACAGGATGTTCAACTTTTTCTTCGCCTTGAAGGAGAACAGCTCCGAGGGCATAACTGCTAGCATCGGTTCGGATAATAAATGGTTTTGTTTCGTCACACTGCTGTGAAATCCGAGCGGTAACCAAAAGGGTATTCACAAGAATCCTGCTCTTTTGTAGTCCATTTCCAACTAGTATACCAACTTGCTGTTTGTAGGAAAGACTGTACCTCATGGACGTTTCGAGGTGCTTGGCGTTCAGCAATGGCTGCAGTTTTGTCTAGATCCATGGAAAATCCTTGTGGCGTGATTAATTGTCCAAGATACTTCACTTGTGCGCACGCGAACACAACTAGTTTTAAATCCTCTAGGTGCTCATCACATGAACGGAACAGGACAATAAGATCATCCAATTACGCTAAAACTACTATAGCTGTCTTTCGTCAGTCCGTTCCGGAGCCAATTGATTTGCCGTTGGAAGGACGCCGGCGCATTTTTAAGGCCGAACGGCATGCGCGTGTATTCAAAAGACGTCATAAAAGCAGTCTTGTCACTAAACCAAACTAACCTGATGATAACCCGATCTCAAGTCGATGGTAGACATATACGTAGTGCGTTTGGCAGTCACAGTGACATGGTTTAGTTTCTGATAGTCAATGCACAGGCGCATCCCACATGTCTTCTTGGGAACTTAAACCACAGGTGCGGCCCATGGACTTTCGCATTCTTCGATTATACCCTCGTCTAGAAGGCGATTTAATTTAAGTAAAGATTTTTTTGAGGCGCCATACGGTACGGTGGCATGGCTATGGAGCAAATAATCTTAAGTGTTGGTATAATGATTCGCATAGGGGGTTGGCTCTCGCCCCACTTCAAAGATATTTCTCCGATTTGGTAGTAAGTTACTTAACCTGGCCCTTTCTTCTGTAGTCAATATAGCTCCTTCATAACATCAGGGCGTAGGACGTCAATAGAAGCCTTGGGAGACCATGTTTTTTCAAAGTCTCAGCGATAGGTGTTTTCTAGATCATCAGAGAAACCCCATTTTTAGGCGGCGGTCTCCAGAATGACTTTCGCATCATGTATGAAGTCTATTCCGAATAATATTCGGGTTTGTGTATCTGAAAAGACAATAACACCACACCCATAACATGTAGTAGTAGTAGATGAGGAGTATGAAGGTTTTTGCAAGGGAGCAACGGTATTCTTTGGCATATTACCTGCTGCTGATGAAGGAGATTCAGGTGCTATACCCGTATTGACGAAGTAATTGGCGTACCAACACCACGATGACCAATGTGAGAGATGCAGTGACGTCACTGAGTGTTTAAAATTTGGAGTATTTTGATAGTTTATTCAAATATGAACAAGGGCTTAAAAAATTATGAAATTTTGCATAACTGCTAAACTCAACACGCTCTTTTAGAATATGTAATAGAAAAATATGCTGTACAAGCCTATTGGCTCTAAAGCCGGCCAATCACGTTTCGGTAGACCTGAGAAGGTAGACCTGCACAGGTAAAATTAATATGACTAACTTTTTCGCTTCAGCAACCAATCTTTGCACCATTTTCCACGTTTGTTCTTACGCTTATGCATAACTAATAAGAGGCCTAGCACTACCAATGCTTCGTCATCTGTCGGTGCCATGGAGTCAGACTAAGAAAAACTAGAATTTCACCATAGCATGTGTGGGCTCCGGTACACCTGGATACTTTTACCTGTACAGGTCTACCTCTGAAGTCTACCGGAACGTGAGTGGCCGGCTTAAAATGTTTTGACGGAAACGAGAGCGAGACCGTAAATTATACATATACCTACTGACATGCGATTGAATTTAGGTTTACTTACAATTCGTCAACATCAATTTTTCACACAAGAGACGGCGTACGCAACTCTTGTTAGCTGTTAAACCAATACTTCGGCGTCCGTGTCCAAGAAATTCACAGCCACGATCACTTTCAACCAAAAAGTGTTCCAGAACCGGCCACTTTTGTCCGCAAAGTGTCAAGAAATCCGCAAACACGCACTTTTGGCCGAAAAGTGTTCCAGAATTGGCCACTTTTGTCCGAAAAGTGTCCAAGAACTCGGTAAAAACACTTTTTAGGTAATAAAACACAATAGTTGCCTGACCACTCAGTTGGACGCCAGTGTGAAAGATACTTCATGGGTTCCAGGAAACTGAATGGAATTCTTGCCTATTTCTCTTCAAAAACACGCATATTGCACCTTGAAATCTAAAGTGTCACAAGTCAAATTTGTTAGTTTTAAGAAAACTTGAGATTAAGTTATTTATGATTTGCAAATTTGATTTTTTGGATTTGTAGGACACTTGTGCGCACGCGAACACAGACTTTTCGCGATTTGCCTGAGGCTTAAACTATTCAAGCCTATCAAACACTTTTAAATCCCCTAAGTGCTCATCACATGAACTGGACAGGACAATAGGATCATCCAAGTACGCTAGAACTACTATAGTATCGCTGTCTTTGGTCAATCCATTCCGGAACCGATCGATTAGCCGTTAAAAGGTCGCAGGCGCATTTTTAAGGCCGAACGGCATACGATATGTCCCAAAAGGCGTCACAAAAGCAGTCTTGTCACGATCTGGTTCATGCACACTAATCTGGTGATAACCCGATATCAAGTCGATGGTAGTAGAATGACTACTGTCTCACGCTTTTGCCCGATTGTCATTCGAACTGCAATCCAGAGGTGTCTTTGTCACACTCTAGAAAAATTATCTAATGAATCAAGAGCCAGATAATCAAAATTTGAATTATTACCGGCTCTTGATTATCTGGGAAACTTTCCTGGAGCCAATCAAGAGCCAGTTATAGTTAAAATTTGAACTTAAATCAACTCTGGATTCATTAAAGAATTGCTCTAAGGACAGTCAAGGCTCAAGAGCCGATAATAATCAATATAGCGATTACTCAGTAACTCTATATAAAACTCAGAAGGAGAGACTTTTGAGTAGTAGGTTATAGTATATTATTTACAATCATGCATGTAATGTTGACTTTTCTGACTTTTAAAAAGTTTCAAAATGAACGATCGATCATAGCCGTTGGAAGGTCGCCGGCGCATTTTTAATGCCAAACGGCATGCGCGTGTAACGATATGTCCCGAAAGGCATTATAAAAGCAGCAAAAGGGCCGAAAGTAAATGAAATTGTTAAAATTTGTTTCAAAGGCTAATTGAACGATAAATTATCGAGTAAAAAAAATAATGTTTTTTCATTATAAGGGTAGGGGGGCCTTATTGTGATATTTGCTTAGAGGCTCAGTGCATCCAAGCGCCGCCACTGTATATCTCATTTTAATTGATAGATAACTAAATTCCAAATGGTCAGTTAACCTTCCTGGCTATTTGATAAATGAAAAACTGTTGAAATGACGTCGCTAAGCAAATCTTATGTGACACAAAAATGCTCAAATTATCTTCATAAGAACCTCTCCTTAAAAACTTCCTCCTTAATTTTTTAGGTGGCAAAGTTGCATGACAAACCTAATAATGCCTCCGTTGAGCATCAGGTAACTAACATTCAACAAATATAAAAGCATGTAACTTTTATCAAGCCTTAAACGTTTTTATCATTTTTTTAGGAATTATTGAACGAAATAAGTATTCTTGAATCTGTTGAGGTAATTGATTATTGATACGTAAATTTGCATATTGCATTTTAATATTTTATTGAAATAGATTCAATAGAAATTGTTTTTATATGCATCCCAGCTAGCGTATCTCATATCATAAATGGCAAAATCTATCCATCCATATACGTTTATTATAGTTATTGCATTATATTAGAGAGCAGTTAGTAATAAATCTAGCCAAAATTTCAAAAATATCCATTCACGCAGCTTATTTTACCGTTTCAAGCGCTTTCGCATCGAGCCCATTGTCTGAACAGCTTCAACCACATAACGGCATGCTGTTATTACGCAATTAATAAAACTCGCATCGTAAATTAATTATATTATTCCCATTTTGCTATTGACATTATTGCCTTCCGGGCCCAAAGTCCGGTCGTATGTGATATTGTTGAATATTTCAGTTATCGACGAAATTCGCCATTCGAATTGTCGATAAATTGAAACTAGAGGGTCAAAAAACAATCACGAAATATTATTGTTCAATCTGCCCAATTCCAATAGAAATGCTACCTACTCATTTTTGTACTGTACAAATAAAGACACTCGTAAAGTAAAAGCAAGAGGCAAAAAGTATATAGTAATTTGCTAAAAACAACTTATTATGTATTTAGAGGCGTTTTATTTTTGCATCAAAATTGTTAATCCACTAAAACTTATAATCGTTACAACCATTTTTTCGTTATAGGATCCAGAAGCGAGAAAAAATGAAAAAAAGGAACACACCGGCCCTCCGCTTCAAACAGCTAGTAGCAGTGTAAGAGCTTTAATCGAAGAAAAAATCATAAACAAACGAAACTCCTCACCAAGCACCCATGACACTGTCAGCCGTACAACATCTTCGACTCAAGTTGATATGGATCCGAAATCAACTTCGTTCGTCGTGCCAGCACCGCCGCAAATGGTGATCGACAAAAATCGTAGACATTCCGATGTGGAGGCTTTAAAAGCAACCAAATCATACCAAGAAGCTCAGGCTATAGCTGATCTTATAGTTAAGAGAGAAAAAATATCCGTTAAACGCACAAGCTCTGATCCTGGCCAATCGTCTGCGCATTTATTGCAGTACCGATCAGATTCATTTTCTCTTGACAATGTCGATATGTATCAGGAAGAACCTCAATTTGTTACCCCTAGTTTAGAAGACGAAGTGTTTTCGAATAATGGCATGATGCTCCAGAGTGTTGATCCCAATCAACTAACCCAAATACCATTCCAATCAGAATCATTAGACGGCAATCTATTAGAAATTAAAGGTGAAAATTTACTGGACATGAAAGATGAAGGACTATTAGATATGAAACATGAATGCGACGAAGATTTACAAGAGCTCAGCCTCGACGATATAGCTAGTTTACACGAAGAACCATTGACAATCCCACAGCAACTAAATCCTGTCAATCAAGACTTGCAAGCGGTATTAAACTCACCTCTACCCGAAAGCTTAGCTGAATTCAGCACTTATCATACATCAAAAAACTTGGAAATCCAATCACCTAATCATTATCATACTCCTTCACCAGGTGCGTACGCAAGATCACCGCACACGTTCACAACACAATCACCTCTGCAAAGTCCTATGATCAGGCACGACTCGCCTGGATTCGCTTATCCCACCCCTCCAGCCAGTCACGAAGGACAAAGTCCTTGTTTCGGACAAAACATACCGTTAGTTTCGCCCAATGAAGACTTCGGACAAATGGTCGAGAGAGGCATGGACGAACCACCGCAAGCTTCTTCCCCATTGTCAGCTGCATTTTACACGAGCACCATGTCCAGTTCCGCAGCTGTCGAAGAAGCCATCCAGGAGATTCTACCTGCGGAGAGTATGAACGAGGATAATTTGTATCCGTTGTCGAATACGCCACCATCGCATTCGGAAAGTGATTCTTTGGGATTGACACCGGTACCGTCTCCTAGGGTAGCTACTTCGATATCGTCGCCGCATGCTTCTGGTGGGTTTAGTGCGAAAAATTCGAATCAAACTTCACAAAATCAATGGGGTAAGTACCTGTGAGGATTAGGTATAGCTTTCTTGGACAATAGGATCATTAATATTTAGGTATCAATTACATATTCTCTCACATTTTAATTCACGGGTTAATGAAAGGTTAAGTATTCCCATAATTGAACTATTTTATGTTTATACCATTGAATTCTTCTCTGCTTCTTCTTCTTCTTCTTCTTCTTCTTCTTCTTCTTCTTCCTCTTCTTCTTCTTTCTTCTTCTTCTTCTTCTTCTTCTTCTTCTTCTTCTTCTTTTTCTTCTTTTTCTTCTTTTTCTTCTTTTTCTTCTTTTTCTTCTTTTTCTTCTTTAGCCTGGACGTTGGCCTCTTCCAGAGACCTCCATGTCGATCTATCTTGAACGGTCTTCATCCATTTCTTCACTGCATGTCGCTGGATGTCGTCTCTCCATCTCGCCTGCGGACGTCCTATACTTCTTTTTGTTTCCCTTGGTCTCCATTGCATTAGGGTTTTCGTCCATTTGGAGTTGTTTCTGGCCAGGTGCCCCGCTCACCTCAACTCGAGCTTCGCCAGCCTTTCCACGACGTCGCAAACTCCCGTCTTCCGCCTAATATTTACGTTTCGGATCCTGTTTCTCAAACTTATTCCCAGCATTGCTCGCTCCATTGCTGTTCATTGTAAGTGTGGCTGTTTTTGAGTCCGTATGTCGCTACAGGTAGGATGCAGGTATCGTAGACCTTCCTTTTCAGGTTCACTGGGATTTTTGGTTGGTAAAGTATATAGCTAAGCTTCCCGAATACTGCCCAGCTGAGGCTGATTCGTCTGGTAATCTCTGCGGTTTGATTACTTTTTCCGATTTTGATGTTATATCTCAGATATATGTATTCTTCGACTAGCTCCGGAGTATGGTTCTCGATGGTAACTCTCATGTTAAATGTACTCATGATTTTGGTCTTCTGTAGGTTAATTTCAAGACCAATGGCTTCGGAGTTTACTCTGAGTTGTTGGGCATCGTCGTAAGTTCGGCCGGATCGCAGCTAAAGAGGACAATATCGTCTGCGAAGCGGAGATGGTTATGATACTTCCCGTTGATCTTGATGCCTTTCTGATCTCGTGATAGGCGTTTAAATGCGTCCTCCATTGCTAGGGTGAATAACTTCGTTGTGTGTTCGAGTATATGTAATCTATACGAGCGTTATTCATCGCCTCCAGCACCGCCCAGGTTTCGATTGAATCGAAAGCCTTCTGGATCCACTGGCTGGTAAAAGTCCAATTTACTGCTCAGGCGGTTCGTTATTATATCAGTTAGAAGTTTGTAGAGGGTGGGTAGCAGACTGATGAGCCTGAAATTCTCAAGATTTGACGTACAAACTGAGCTTCGGTCAGACCATCGATCAGTCTCTTTTCAATGTCGTTGATTGAAAAAATATTTTGGTATAATTTGAATTTGAGGGTAAAAAAGTTTTTTTTTTGAATAATTTTTTATTTATTCCCGGCTCTTGAACTGTCATTTTTGTCAAATTGAAAATGGACAACTTCTTGTCATTGATTCATTGGCCTACTTCGTAAAATGTTTATTTTTTTCGTATAACGGTTTGATTTGGTGGATGTTAGGAAGCGCCCATTTTTTTGACATTTGTAAATGAAAGGTCAACTTTGTAGAGGCTTGTATTTGTCCTCTTCTAATATTATGTCAAAGATAGACAGTAGAAAATGACACAAATATTCTCACTCACAACGGTATATTTAGTGAATTTTAGGAAATGGACAGTTGGTTGAAGAAACACATAGCCTACTTGATAAAAAGTTTACCAGAATATTTTGGTATTTTGGGTTACAGAAATAAAAATCTGAGGGTAGAAAAGTTTTTTTTTTAATAATTTTTTATTTATTTCCGGTTTTTGAACTGTCATTTCTGTCAAATTATAATTGGACAACTGCTTGTCATTGGTTCGTTGGCCTACTTGGTAAAATGTTTATTTTTTTCGTTGATTTGGTGGATGTCAGGAAGCGCCCATTTTTTTTGTAAATGAAATGTCAACTTGGATAAGAATTGTATTTGTCCTCTTCTAATATTGAGTTAAAGATAGACAGTAGAAAATGACACAAATATTCTGACTTACAACGGCATGTTTAGTGAATTTTAGGAAGCGCCCATTTTCTGACAGTTGGTTGCAGATATACACGGCCTACTTGATAAAAGGTTAACCATAATATTTTGGTATTTTCGGTTAGAGAAATACGAATTTTAGGCAGGAAAAGTTTTTTTTTATAATTTTTTATTTATTCCCGGCTCTTGATCTGTCATTTTTGTCAAATTGAAAATGGACAACTGCTTGTCATCGGTTCATTGGCCTACTTGGTAAAATGTTGATTTTCTTCGTATAACGGTTTAATTTGGTGAATGTTAGGAAGCGCCTATTTTTTTGACATTTGTAAATGAAAGGTCAATTTGGTAAAAGAATATATTTGTCCTCTTCTTATATTGATTTAAAGATAGACAGTAGAAAATGACACAAATATTCTCATTTACAACGGTATATCTAATGACTTTTAGGAAGCGCCCATTTTTTGACAGTTGGTTGCGGAAATACATGGCCTACTTGATAAAAGGTTTACCGGAATATTTTGGTATTTTGAATTACAGAAATACAAATTTGAGGGTGAAAAAGTTTTTTTTTTATAATTTTTTATTTGTTTCCGACTCTTGACCTGTCATTTCTGTCAAATTAAAAATGGACAACTGCTTGTCATTGGTTCGTTGGCCTACTTGGTAAAATGATAATTTTTTTTATAAACCGGTTTGATTTGGTGGATGTTAGGAAGCGCCCGTTTTTTGACAGTTGGTTGCAGAAATACATGGCCTATTTGATAAAAGGTTCCCTGGAATATTTTTTCATTTTGGGTTACAGAAATACGAAGTTTTTTTTAAATATTTTTCTATTTATTTCTAGCTTTTGAACTGTCATTTCGTATTATATGCTCTCTGATATTTTCTGATGGCCTTCTTCACGATCTTATTCAGGTGCTCATACCTTAATGAGTTTTTGTCAGTGTTACTCCGTTTATCGATGAGTTGTTCTGTTTCTAAACTGAATTTCGGATATTTCTTTTCGCACTGCGTTTCTAATACTAGAGGTGATCTTCGTTGGGAGTGCGTTTAGTTCCATGTTTCGCATATCTTCAATTGGGTGTAGCTTCTTTTCAATTTGCCTGTTGAATTCTTCCTCCCTCTCTCGCAGTTCACCTGTGGTTGGCCGTATCTTTCTTTCTACTAAAGCTTTTCTCTGGTGTCGAGTATTGACGTGGATCCTGGCTCTGACCAATCTGCGCTCGCTGCTTGTGTCGTCCGATCATAATTAGGGGTTCGATGTGAGGACATAGTCTATCTTGTTTTTGACCCTGTTATCTGGGCTTTTCGCGTCCATTTTCTTTTCGGGTGCTTTTTGTAGAAGGTATTCATGCAGTAGAGCCTCTCCTTGTTGAGGAAGTCGATCATGGTTTGTTTCCATTGGTTCCTAGCACCCAGCCCGAATTTACCGATGAAGGGAGGATCCGTCGGTACCCTGGCTCCAACCTTCACGTTGAAATCGCCGATTATCACACAGATTTTGGTCTTTTCTGCGTTCTTTGCAGTTGTTAGGTCTTCGTAGAATGTTTGAATTTCTTTATCTGAGGAGGCGGAGGTGGGTGCATATGCTTGGATGATTTGGATACTAAACATGGCGTTGATCCTGATCATTACATGAAATATTTTGTGTGACACGGCTCCAGTGGCGTATTTAGGATTTTCATCTGGGGGGGCCCAATGTAACAATAAAAAAAAAGGGTATTAATTTTCCTGACACGCGCGCAAAGTGATACTTTTCCGCACGAAAAAGCAGTTAGACGAACAACGCAAAACGGAGTACGGATAACCCTTAAGTGCGGGAAAGACACTTTGCGCAAATGGTAGGAACAAAACTTTTTCTACGGAGTGTTTTAAAAGTTGTGAATTTAGTATAGAGCACTGCTTTTGTTTTACATACAAAACTTTTAAAAAAAGGGCAATCAGTTGCATACAAATTCGAACCCAAATTTACAAATTCTTCACAGCATTTTTCAAAAAATATACAAATATTTGAAAAAAATTTGACATGGCTTTAACCAAAAAGAACTAGTAAAGTATGTTTTTTTTTTTGAAGATAATTCCCCAAGTCAAAAATTTAGTAAGTAACTATGTTCGCAACACTAGCCTTTTCTACATAAAAAATTTGAAAGCATTGACAATTTTACATTGTATTGCCAACAGAATGTCATTTTGACTTTTATCTTTAAAAAAAAAAAACAGACTTTATTTCAATTTTGTCTATTATCGTAACATACTTTTTCTATCCCTAAAATGAGAAATTTAGTTTTTGATGATTTTTAGTGGAGGTTCCAAGGTAAACCATACTAGAAACTTGAAGCAATAGGTCTGTTTCTGCAGGAATCACAAAACCAGTCAGAACGAATTTCATTGGTTGAAAACAGTCAGAAAACTAGTTTCAACCAATGAAATTCACTCTGACTGGTTTGTGATTTCTGCAGAAACAGACCAGGTCTATAAACCTAGCACTCCCAAGGTGGAAAAAAACTTCGGGAACTATACACAGTGTGTAAAAAGTCCCGGAACAGTCAATTATTTTGAAAATAGTGCACAATATAAAAAAACTTCCTGTATAAAAGTTGAAGGTCTTAATAAAATCTATTGAAATAGGACTTATGTAATTATACAGGGTGGCCCAAAAAGTTGTGCTACACAAAACTTCATTTTTTTTTAATGGAATGACCCTTTTTTGATTACATTTTCTAATTCCTTTAGAGATTCTAAACAACAATTATGAAACATGTCATATGGCTAAACTCATTAGTTTCATAAATAATTTGAGTTGAAAGACATAAATACGATAAGTATGATATTACCTACATTTTGCATTGTTTCGAGTTGGTTCAAAATGGTAACCAGACCTAACGCCCCTTGATTATTTTCTTTGAGGACATCTGAAAAATAAAGTGTT